CCCCGAGCTGCGCAGTCGCCATTGCAGTCTGGGATGCTGATCCTGCATCCACAGATTGGGTTGCAGAGTTTACAAGAGGCAATGCCAATGTCGGCTCGACGACGCTGGGTCCTCCACTTTGGAGGAGCTCGACAGGAACCTGCCCAAGTGTGATTGTCCCCTGTACCGCGGACTCTGACAGACTTGAAAAGGCCCTTCTGCCTCGACACGTAGCTCGCAAAGAGCTCGGTGCTTAGAGTCCTGGCTTGTGCGTGACGAGCATGCAGAATGCACTAGCTCGAGATGTGGGCTGCCAGATGCTGCCAGGTCGTAGGGGACACGGGACAAAGTCTCCAGTTGAAGCCCCGAAACACCCCTCACTCTGACACGTCTCGTCCTGTCCTGCAGCAGAAGGCTCCGGAATCGCTCTGCGGCCTCTTCCGAAGATCGCAGCTCGATGGCCTGACCGCGGTGCATTGCCTTCTTCGCCTTCAAGTGTCTTTGCCCCCCCCCACCCTGGGCCGTTCGCTAAGGCGGGCGTGGCCTTGTCGAGCAGCGCTTCCACGAGAGGCTTCTCGGTCATTGTCTTAGCATCTACCTAAGCTTCGCCGAAGCTGACCGTAAGTCTTTGATGCATTTTCGCAAAAATTGAAGAAGTGCCTAATGCTGCTGACCACCGAGTACTGAGTTTGCTATTGCGCCTTCGCTCCTCCAAACCAGGCTTACACTCACTGCTTCCAAGGCCACGCCCAAATCAGCGCGCTCCACGCAGGCACAGTCGCAAGCCTGAGGAAGTGAGCACGGCCCTCACCTATCTTCATAAACAGTAGAACCTAAGCAGACACGCAGGAGGGATTGAAAACGAAACGAAATTAGGTCAGCTTGACAAGACTCCGGCGGCATGTCTAGAGCTGCGCTTGACATCTGTGAAGCTCTTGGCGGGCAAGCAAAGGTCCGAGATGCATGTGCAGCTTGCTCTGCATCCTTCACCGCAACGAAGCTGTCCAGCAGTGCCTTCCATGTCCAGTCGATAGAGCAGCGAACTACTCTGAGTACACCTCTCCTGCCCGCTGACATCTCCAACGGTCCAAGCATGAACGAGCAGCCTCCAGCGCTGCGCCGAGCTCTTCAGCACCTGCTTGTTGGATTTAGCCCGTCGTTTGCTCTGAAGGCCTGCCCCCCCACCCACCCAACGCACCACGTAGGTCACTCCGCATCTGTTTTATGGCACTGTCTCAATTACCACCTGTCACGCCTACGGATGGCCAGAGACCCTGCTGTTCTCGAAGGATTAGGGCCTGCCTCCTTGCGCTGTGATCTGCAAACGGCCCTTCTGCATCGCCTTTGGCAGAGCGGAAGGACTGTCATCGCCGTGGGATGCCGTGGGTCTCTGGTGTCGTCCCATGCCTCCTCCCATGCGTCCACGGCTGCTAGCAGAGCGCGCGCTTGGCGGAGCTCCTGGCAGTATCCGTCAGCCCGAAATTTTGGAGGCCATCTGGGCTGCTTGACGGATGATGACTGCTTTGACTGCTTGGCTCTTTTGACAAGTTTCCAATCAGTCCTCAGCGGGCCACTCTGCGTGGGTACTCACGGCGTCGCCTAGCGCGAGGAGCGACTTTGGCCCGGCAGAATCCGGCATAGGCGCATCTGAAAGAACAAAGCCAAGCAGCTGGAAAGAATGCCTGCATCCACCTGCCACCAGAGTCCACAAGCAGCTGTTTCAAAGTGTCTGAATGTGTCTCGATGACTTGCCAACTGCCAATGCTTGCTGCTTCAAAGTCAAGTCAAGGTTCCATCACCCACAGGATTCAGTCACTCTGCTCATCCTGTCGTCGTGTCTTGGCTATGCTGCTCCCGTTGTGTCTTGGCTATCCTGCTCCACCCACCCGCCAGCAGAGTATCTTAAACCTTGCAGCCGCGTCACTCCGCCCGCCTGGAGCAGGCCCTCGATGCGCCCAGCATCTTCGCACATGCTGCGGAGGTCGACTGCTGACTGCACAGTCTTCCTTGGATGGGACAGCACTGTCGCACTCTCTGCAGCCTGCAATGATCAAGATGTGTTCATTGAAATCGCGTCCCCCTAATAAACGATCCAGGGCCGAGTTTAATCTTGTTTGGGCGAGTTTCTGGCTCCGGGTATGGGTCAGTCAGATAGGCAGGTAAGTAAAGAGATTCTTAGATAGAGAGATAGATAGATGGATAGATAGATACATACCTACACCGCCCTAAACCCTAACACTCTAAGCCATTAGCCCTAAGCCTGAGCCCTAAAGCCCTAGGCCCTTGCTCGCCTCGGTCCTTTCGGTTTAGGAATTTCTGTCGTCTTGTCTTGGCTCTATTAAGAGCTCATACAAGCCCAGCTCCCGCCTAGTATGTTTGATTAACTTTCCATTGTGTGCCCGAAACCGCAAAATTCCGGTGTCGGGGAGTTCTAATACTCGGGGAGGCTGTAATATCAGGAGGAAGCGAATATCATGTCCTATCATTGTCCTGTCATATCATAGATGCTAAGATTTGCAAGCTGTTCTCCACTGTCTTCCAAAATCACGTGGCGCTGGAACAACTAGTTGCCACTAGAGCCAGGCCCTTGCGGAGTTCGGGCCGTGGGCGTGTTTGACAGTGTTTCATTCCATTCATCCCTAAAGGACTGCAGTCAGGACGACGAGATGTTGAAACGCATCATGAAGGCGTGAACTCCGTTGCAGGTGGCGCCCTACACTTCACGGCCAATTACATATCGTGAGATTAATCCCACAGGAGGTGATCACTGGCTGAGAAGTGTCCACACCAAGAAGAGCAGAAAACACAAAAGACAGTGTGTTCAAGCTGGGGTTCTCCTTTAGCTGCTGCACTGCAGTTCTCAGCGCGGCGACCTGCGAGGGAGATAGTTAATGCTGATGAATCCATCCCACAAAGTCGGAAAGCAGAAGCTGCCTCTGGTTCGTGCTGGCGCAGCCTCGTGAGGGCATCGCGCTCCTCACTGTAACATGGCAAGATGAAGCTGTCGCACTCTGTTGGGAGACAATCCGGAACAGTCCTCGCTGGACAAGGGGTCGGAAATCAAGGCCGCAGTGTCCTGGCACGAGTGAGGGCGACACAAGTGAGCTGCATAAACCAAATTCAACGGATTTCAACAACAGCAAACCCAAATGGCTTTCCGCATTTGATCCCGTGTCCAGGTCTTCTGGTGCGGAGATTTCGTCTGCTTGGACCTGTCATGCGAGTCTTGCGGGCCCTGCCAGCATCGTAGCCACGGTGGTCTGGAACGCAAATGCCCTGGCGAGCCTTGGTCTCCTCCACTACTTCTGTCTTCTCGTTCTCGGGCTCCTCTTGCAAGGGCTCCTCAATTGTCTCCGCCACCTGCGATCCTGCGGGCTCCTCGAGCTCTTTTGACTCTGTCGGTGCAGGCACTTCCTCCTTCGCCGGCTCCTGCTGTCAACAAGGAGCCTCATCCTCAAGCTGATTGGCGAGCCCGCCTTGTCGTTGGAGTCGCTCGCTGGTTTCTCGGCTTTTGCTTTCGCAGCTTTGTTGCGTCTCGTCATGGCTTTCACCCCACCAAAACCAAGGGAGCGTGTGGCAATTTCTCTTAGCATACGACTGCGAAGGTGCTTTAATAGTGGAGGCCTCTTATGCTCATGTTCTTCTTTCGTGACCTCTACTACTGTAGCGGTAGTGGGCTTGGAAGCTGGCGGGTCTGCTCGTGCCGAGGTTCGATCAGTACGGCAACTCGAGAAGCCGACAGAATGACGTGAGGGTGATCTCAATCCCACAATGCAGCTGGCTGCGCAGACCGCAAACCGAGAGCTTTGGACTGTGAACAACTTGTGCAGTCTAAGCTCTGAGCGGTCTATATCTGCTTTCAACCCAAGCATCCGGTGCCTCTCTGTGCCAACACTTAGGGGTTGGCCCCGACATGTAGCTTGGGCTGGGGGCAGTGCCAGAGCATTCTGTGACTGCGACAAAGTCTGCGCGAGAGGCGCCAGCTTGCAAGCGAGTCTACGAAAGTTGCGCATGGGAAAGTTCAGCCCTCACACTGTGCTACTGCTTCAATCGCAACATACTCGTCACTAGTGCATTCTAGATTCTAGATACAGTCATACTTATCCCATGCACAGCAAAACCCAACGAGCACGGATGATCTACCGGAGCAGCACGGCGAACGGCTGCGCGACTACCATCATATACCATCATCCCAGATAGAAAGCTCAGCAGCTCAGGTGCTTCATCTTCACGGGTCTTCACCACACTTTGCACTTGCTTGCAAGTTTTGATGGACTGGGATGAAGGTCTCAGTGCTCGAATTCGTGGCACAAAACCGTGGACACCTGGCCATCAAGACATGCAGGACACACTGTCAGACTTCTGCAGCAAGTTTATAGCAAGTTTGCTGTTTCTCCGGGATCGAAGCACAAGGACCAGTGCAAGCTCGTTGAATTTGAACTTGAACTGCCAGTGACACCTTGTTGTAGATCCTAGTCCAAGCTGTTGACGTCTGCATACGCCTGTACAACTCGCGTTGCCTGCAGGTTTGGGCGAGGTCTGAGCCCACTGCACTGCACGAACACAACACAGCTCGGAAGCCACGGACTTGCAAGCCCCGACCGGCTCGAGATCCGACTAGCAGCAACGGTGTCGTCCTCCCCCTGCTGCTGCAGTAGCTGGTCCGGAAAATGGTCGGTGGCGTCTTCAGACATCTGACTCCATCCATGCCTGAATGCAGCTTCTCACGTCCAGCTCACTCCGGGGAACGTGTATCTTCAGAGTCGGAGCATTCCTGGCCCGCTCAGCGTCTGAAAGAAACTCCAAATTGTCATAGATCCGCGTCGATGGAATTTCAACGGATGCAGCTATCGCTCGCGGAGGCAATGGATAATCTCCTCCTGCCCCTGCATACCGGCACGCTAGCGCTCCGAGAACATCCGCATTTATGTCCTGAGCAGTGGCTGTGCATTTAAACCCTCTGCTGTCGACAAGGCCAATGGGAGAGTCCGGGGAATCCAGGCAGCACAGGCGGCCAAGTGTCATAGAGCGCTTTGTGAGAAGGCTCGTGCACTGAAGTGTCTTCGCAGTAGCTCACAAGCCGGCTCAATGCCAGGCGACATGGCCTGGTGCTCTGTTGCATGCTTTTGCAACCCTGTAGACCTGTGCATTCCATGCGGCCTCTGCCTTTTCCTCTGAATCCACCAAGTGTAGGCGCCAGAGCTTGCATCTGCAAAACACTTGATTTGGTGGCCCTCCTCGATGAGGAAGTCTGACAGGGCGAAGAGCCACCTGTGACGAAACACTGCCCTGGCCCTCTGCACAAGAAAGGCGGGAAGTCGCGAAGTCGCCTCTGATCTTCCATGGGGTCGGGGCCCGGTGTCAGTAGCTGCACGCCACCTAGCATCATCACGCCACCCGAGCGCAGGAAGTTCTCGTAGATCATCTGCCCAAGGGCTGCTGGCTGCGTCATCAGACCCGCGGCAGCAATACGAACTTGCAACATGCATCATGAAAAAATTAAAAGATCATTGGAGTGACGAGCACTGCAGATGCTCCCGCAGGGCCTCCAAAGTGCCGACCGGGTCTGCCAGCCAGATCCAGGTGACCCAAGAAACGATGAGGTCGAAGGTCCGGCCTCGAAGACATGGACAGCTCACGAGGTCCTGGGCACAGAACGGAGATGTACGGAGACAGCCAGGGTAAAGAGCCGGTGGAGCGGGCTCGAGTGACTTTGCCTTCCTCTGAGCGGCATCGATGTTCCAGACGACATAGGAAGCTTCAGAGTCTGCGCCCGCAGCACTTCGCAGATCAAAAGGCTCAGTGCCGGTTAGCACCTGCAAGTAGCATCGAATCCGCGACAAGTGCAACAGACAATCGACAACCAATCTGAGCACACCAACAGTTGCTTCGAAGTGCACCCGTGAAAAGCCGTCAACAGCCAATTGCCAACCGACGCAGGTCTGTTTGCTGACTCGCCTGCCTCAACACCACGTGAATCCTCTCGGATAGAAGCTGACTTCACCCAAAAGGAACATCGAAAGCTGATTCTGCCAGCATGTACTCTAGTCCTCAGCCGTCACTCCCACGATGTTCTCCCAGCTGAGGCCGAAGTGCGAGTGCAGAGCAAACAGCGATTGGCCGTCACCGCAGCCCAAATCCTTGGAGAGCTCGAGCCGAAGAGACTCTCGAGCTTTGTTGATGTCTACCACCGAAGCGCCGTCAAGGTTCCAGGACTGTGAAGCAGTCCTGGGTGCCATGCAGGCTCTTCTGAACCTCTTACCAGATGCTGATTACCATCCAGCCATGCTGCTCGCTTGTCCACAGGTGCTAGTGTCTCGACGAGATCACGAAGACCAAAGATGCGCTCCTGCTGTTGCCAGGACATAGCTCATTTCGGCACGTGGTCACATGACCCATGCAAGCCGCGCATCCCGCTTCGTGATATTCTCCGCGCAGTCCCACACGAAGCCAGAAAGTTCGTAGTCCTTGGTGAAGGTTATGGAAGTGGCCAGCACCATAGAGCTTCCGGACTCACGACGTGGCCAAAGGGATCGGATCCCTCTTCTGTCAAGTGCAGGTTTGGTGCACGTGTGGCGCTATGCGGCTAAGCTTCGAGGGAGCCCACGGCCCCGTACTTCTTCTCTCGGCCTCTCGAAGTCCGAAGTGAGCCGTTTTTGCGTTGACCCCTCGGAGCGACGCGGCGACGCGAAGCGGGGCCCCCGCCTGCGGTCTCCTGCTCTGCGAATTTCGCTGCGATCGCGGAGCGAAGTTCTTCGGGTCGCTTTCCCACGAGCTCGCCAGTGTCTTCCCAAAGCATGATGCGCTCTAGAAAGCAACAATGGGGCTATGGACCGAAAGGTGCTGTGTGAGGAAACTGACAACTTTCAGCATCTTTCTGCAAAGTCCACGTCACAGTTCTGTAGCAAAAGAAAGGTCATCGACAGCCGCACAGGCAGGGTTCGCATTAGCAAAATTCACCAAAAGCTGCAATGCAAGACGAGTGTGCGAATTCTGCAGTTTCGGGACCTGCCTCAGTCGAGGCATCAAGCATCCTGCCATTTCGCGATGCAGTTGGAGCTGCTGACCTTGCACCGTAGAAAAACTCGTTACCCTGACGAAAATCCATACAAGCGGCTCAACTGCACTTTGTCCAAGAGGCGACAGAAAATTGGTCATCACCTATGTCCAGGTCGACCTGCGTGGGACTCGCGGCCCAGCAGAAGTCTGGAGTCTACCACTCCATGATCGCACAAATCGAAAAAGGCAAGGTTCCCAACCCGCATCTGAAAGGACAACCTGTAGTGAATTGTAAGGTCCACCGAGACAGCAAACCGTGGGATTGTGGTCGCGAGTGGTGGGCGCTTGAGCACAGGAGTCGTTTCGCCCCACCCTAGGTATGAGATTTGGAGAGCTACTGCTTAATTTGCTTCCTCCTCGAGTTCACATGTTCGCGCTTTCCCCGCAACAGATATGCTTCCGTTGATTAATACAGGCCCCTTTCCATGCCCGTGCCGGCTCCAGCCAAACCGCGTCGGAATGTGACCCCAGTTCATAATCATCACGCAATCACCAAACTGCTGCGAGCCATGTATGTTTCTTCCGACCTCGTCCCCGTAGCGAAAGCGGACCATGTCGCCAACCTGTAACAGGTTCATCGTCGACCCAAGGATGTCCAGGTATTCTACATTTAGATTACTGTACCAGTAGCTTGGAACCCTGTCTTGCTCGTTCCGCCTGCACAGGCGAGGGCTGCTCGTCCCCTGGCCGGAACTGTTTTGACTACTTCCCGTTATCCAGTTATCCCCATCATTTCTGCACGATTTCGCATCAATTCCCTGTCGATTACCATGTCTTCGAGTTTTGCTGGATCAGTAGTTGAACAGGAAGGCAGCGGATAGTTTCAAGACACTGCGATGTTGGCTCGCATGAGCATCCTTTACACGAGTACTTGGTGCCGGTCCGTTGGCAAGAACGATGCCAGGGCCGACAGCAATCACCTGAAGTGATCATTGCTGGTACCATACGGAAGCGAACGCAAGCATGTTGGGCCATGGGATGCAAAGGTCTTCTGAAGTCCTGGCCTTGCCCGCGGTCGTGGTCTGTTTGGAGGCCTCCTTCGAAAGGAGCAAGCCGAAGGAGGTCTCCTCGTGACGGGTGGAGCGCAGAATCCCAGTGCAGATCGCAGACCAACTGCCTGTGCCCGTAAAACACTTGCAGGTGTTTAAGGGTCGTGGGAATGGATGCCTTCTTGCAAAACGTTCCTGCCTCCTCTTTTGCCAACAGCTTCACTAGAACCTGCCCGGGCGCTCGCTGCAAGTGCAACGGCACTGGCTGGACGGGCGTCGGAGCCTTCCCCCGGGGCATGGAGACCTGCTCCAGCGAAGGCTCGTCGCCTGAAGCCGCTAGCGGCTGCAGAGCTGGTAACGTCCCGAGTCTCGAGTCCCGGTCCACCTTCGTACTTCAGGAGAACGTCATCCTCTCTGACCTGGGCAGCTTGGTGGGCGTCCGGGCGTGGGCGTCCGGGCCACTCGGAGGGACTTAAGCCGTCTTAAGATCGCGGCGAGGACATGATCCTCCCCACTGCACTCGATGGTTTCGGATGCACCATACCTCCGAGCCAGCACGAAAAAGTCCCGAGCAAAGCCGAGGCAGTCATGTCCTACAAGACCTCCGGGAATGGACAGGGGCCACAGCGGCATCCCAGCTGAACTCCTTTCCTTCTCTCAGGCCGCAGCTTGCTGTACAGAACCTCGCACCGATTTTCGATGCTTTTCACACATTTCTCTTCACAACTTCGCTGGCACCCTCCTCTAACTCCAGATTCAATCTCTCATGTCCTAACAGACGGGCCTTCTCACCCACCTTGACAGACATTGGAACCATCACGCCCGACTCGGCTATGGCCTGTTGGAGATGCCCGTGACCATCGTCGCACAAAGCTGCAAGAACTGCTTGGAACCGACGAGCCGCATCCCTCGGCAGTGCACGTGACTGATCTGCAGGCCTCTCCGGGGCCAACTGCCACTACCTCGCCCTCCTCAACGCGGGTTCGGATTGCAAAGCCGCTGTCCAGGACAGCTAGTGACTGCTAATGAAAGGAGAGGTATCGCTCTTCTTGAAGCCGACGTATCAGCACACGGATCACTTGATGCTGCTCCTTAGGCTTCTCGCTCTTCGGCAGCAGCAGGCCCGCCTGCAGGAGATTTGGATGTTGCTTCATGTTTCAAGTCCCGCTATCGCCCTGCAGATCACAGAAGGCAAGTAGTCGGGCCGTCGGCGCCACAGGCAGACATGATCACGTTGGAATCCGTTGGAACACATCTCATATTCTGGACCTTCTTACGAGCGGCTTCTCAATTCCACAAACGCTGACCAACTTTGCTTGCTTTGTGTTGTCGGTCCGCATAAGTCTCATGACAACCAGGACAGCAATCGAGCAAACAATTGCTACATCGCTGGTTTATGAAGCAAGAAACTCTGAATCGTTGAGCACTTGTCAGCCGGGTCTCCGACCCAGCAACGAGCTTACGAATCTGTGGAATTGCCGCCGGCAGAGCCTAACCTCAACCTCAATGCACTCGGCCTTGCTTCAGAACCCTGTAATAGATGCACAGGAAGGACGGATAGCACAGGATGCCTGACATCTGTGACATCCGGTAGCGCTATAACGGTTGGCCATGATTGGCCTTGGTCATCTCCTCCGCCTTCGCAGACTTCAGAAGCAGGAACTTTCCCAAGGGCTTCACTGCCCCATCCACCTGCCACAACGGTCTGAAGAGCATGCTGCTCCTGAAGCCCAAGTCCGCGCCTTCAGCGACACCGCTTGGCGGCAGATGTATGAACCTGGAATAGGATGTTCGCTGCAGCATCACTCAATCACCAACCATTCAATCGCTCAGAGTTCAGACTGTGCGTCAGACAGCCAAGTATTGGCTTCAGGAGGCTGCGGCAAGCTGAGACCAGCAACACTGCGAGGAAACTGCTCACCATCATGGCAGCCCGGCATTCTACTCATTCTGCTTCTGTTTGCGCCTCTTGACGGCTCGGCTTGGCCGCGGCCCGGCTGGCGCCCTGGCAGACTTTACCGCTGCTTAAAACCAGGGTTCCGGATGAATCGGATGCCTGCAACAGTCGGACTGCCACAGAACGTCAGCGATCGGAGCGCCAGTCCTCAATGTTTTTGCACGCGCACGCGGACTGTCCGGCTTGACGCTGCTGCTCCGATAGCAGATCAATTCCGACAGCCGATTGGTGCTACATCATCGTAATTCATCGTGCACAGTCACTGAGCAGCATGCCGCTTAGCAGTACGGCCACGACCGCCAACCTATTTGTGCATGACAGCACAGCACTCACAACGCTGCTAAAGCTCGCTCGGTGTTCGCATGCCTGCAGGCAGGTTATGCACAGATCCTGGCCAACTTGCTTCGGCAAGATGTGGCAAGATCCAGCAAGATCAGTTCAGTTTACCCCATGCGATGTTCATCAATGGCACCAAAGCATTTAAACCAAAGGCAGTACGGAAAGTCACAGCCTCCTCGCAGAGCGAGTCGCACGCATTGCCATTGCTCCAGGGATCCGCCGAGAAATCCTAAAAGCTGTGACTGATGGGTTGTTAGCTCAAGCGCATGCGTCTCGCAAATTCATGGCAGTTTGCAGCTTTCTCCCTTAGAAGGCCCCTCATACTCCACCAACGTCGGTTCATGCATGCACAAGACCCGTCTGCATAGGATTCACAAGAGCAAGGTGAAAGCGACCACGGAACGAGAACCATCCGTAAGCATCCACTGTGTCTGCAGGGTGCACTCGCTAAATGGACTACGCTTGCAGCACCATGCTGTTGCGTTATTGCCTTATTGCCGTTCTCGTGGTTGGAACGATCCGCGCTCACAAATCCAAACCCTAGCGGACTGGGTTTTCGAGTTTTCCTGTCATTTACTTCTCAGAGTCGGAGACGGCACAGCGGCTGTGACAGGTGCGAAGCTCGCCTTCAGCGAGGGCCATGCCGCACCTGTGCCTAAACGGCCGCAATACGCAGGCGTCTGCCTCTTTGGAGGGGCCTGAGCATAATTTACTCCTAATGAACACGCAGCCATCTCAGAGGCGTCCCGAGGAAAAGTTGAACCCCCCCTTCCCTCATTCTGGAAATGGCAGCTGAGTCCCGCTCCTTCTTGCTCTCGACAAGCTGACACTATGCTGCTAGAAATTAGCACATGTCCCTCGCTTCTCGTCTAAGACCACTGCAACATACTGCAACCACTGCAGTCGAAGAAGAGAGCCCTTGCTGCAATGCGAGCCTTGCTTGGCGGCACTAGGTGCGCTACCCAGGGAGACAGCTCACCTGACCTAGCGGGACCTAGCGGATCCGGGCTTTGCCACGCTCCTTCTGGGCGGTCTCCATCGTCGCAGCCACTCCGAAGTCCATCGTTGGCCTGCTTGGGCCGGCATGTGAGCTTTGGCGAGACAACTCTTGCATGCCGGACTGGAGGACTTGAGGATGCAAAGGTTCATGAGCTCACACGAATACACCGGAGGCAAGCAACGCGAGACCATGAGAGACCGTTTCAGCCTTCAGCTCTTTGCGAAACTGACGTGGTTTGTAGGTGTGCTGACGATACAGATGGTCTTCATGCATAGTTTGCCGAAACAAGAAGTTTACATTTCCAAATTACGACCCTAAGCACGACATGAACATTTTACGTCCTTGCACCTCCTAGTGCAACTTCCAATCGTACCCTGCTCGCTGCCTCTTTGGACCGTCAGGTGCAACGTCTCAGCTGTTCTGCCGATTCTCAGGCATCGCCTGTCTCCAGCACACCGTGCTCGTTGATGTGAGCCGTGAAGTCCTCGGGTGTCGACACATCGGCCAAGGGGTGGCGAAGCTAAGTGTACTGCCCAGAATCGTCCACGCTGTACGCGTCCCAGAAGGTGGAGCTATCTTCCTCCAGAGGCGGTTCTGGCTGCTTCAACCTGGAGTCTGCCCGGCAAGCCCGCCTCCAGAGATGATGGGACAGGCAGGTCATCGTCTCTGTCGAGCGATAGCATGGAAGAAACCCACTTTGCCTGGGCAAACCGGCAAGGTGATATCAACAACGAATGCTTTGTGGCCAGTATCACTAGCAATGCTCGTCGCCTTTATCATTTTTCTCAGCTTCGGCTTTGGCTTCTCGCGCAGCAATCTCAGAGCATCCTGAACGTGCATATCGAAGAACCGTGATACGATGGATGCAGCAGCCCTCCATTCCCATCCGACAACAAGTCCTGAGCCTGTTCGACGGGATGCCACAGCTTCTCCTGAGCCGATCTGCTGCCAGCAGGTTTTTGCTTTTCGTGCTTGCTACACTCGATCTGACTGGTTTCCGAAGATAAGAAAGAAGGCCGCAGATCAACAATCAAGTGAAGCTTCTATGGATCCAAGTTCGTCAACCAGAACAGAAACGATTGCAAACTAAGAGGTGAAACAAGAGGCGTCCAAGAGCTCTTGCAGCAGGTTGATCGCCTTCGTCGTGCCGCGCAGTCACATGACTGGAAGATCCCTTCGCGATTTACATTGGGACAAGCCTCGGAACTTCTCAAAATAAACCATACACCCCATTGTCCAGCGCAGACGCAAGATGACAGAAGTCAAAGGCTTGCACCAGAGATATGGCTTGCATGCTGAGCAACCTCCTGGTGCTGCAACTGCACGCCCAGATCATAGAGAAAACCTCAAGACACTGTACGTAGTAAACAGCCCACCGGCTCTGTTTCTGATTGTCTCTCGTCTCGGACGACCTCGACAGCATCGTCTGGATGCAAACGGCAAGCAGGTCTTCCTGAAGTCAGGCCACCAATGCAGATCCGCTTTGTCTCGGAGATTTCCCGGCGCATGACGACCTTTTTGACAGCCGCGAAGGTCTCCGCAGAGGGCGCCTCACAAAGCGACCGCGTGCTGTTCCCTCAGAAGGCAAAGCTTTTGTGGCTACATCCTTGTAGATCTCTGAAAGGCTTGAAAGGTCCTTGCCGACTGTGTGAGCCTCCGGCTCGTACTTCGGATTTTCCCCCAAGCGCGCACACCTCTGAGGGCCGCCAAGTTCGAGATTCTCATCGTACGCGCATTGTGGATCATTGTGGCACGTACATCTGCGTCTGCATGCTTTCTAACTTGGTTTTGACAGGAGGCAATGCTGCCACTGAATTGTCAAGCACCCGGTGAATCTTCAACAGCAGCTTCGCGGCAACGAATTGGACATGCGGGTCCTGTGCACAGCCCTGACATGCCCAGACGCCGCCCCAAGGCCGCAAAGCAAAGCCCACTCGAGACATGCTCGCGAACGGGACCTGATGCTCCAAAGCCGCAGCGGCAGCTCGCACATCGTCCGGCAAGGCCAGTAGTGAGGCTTCGGCCACCTGCAAGGGCATCCGAGACTCTCGTGCAGCACTTCGAAAAAAGTGGCGGAGTTTTCGTCTCCATGCCCAGAACCTCCACATCGCCCTGGGCACTCAGTTGCCGTAGCTCGTCCACAACATCGGAGCCAACCTGAGCACTGAGAAATTGAGGTGAACCTCAAAAACCTTCTTCGTGCCACGCGAGCTTGCAAGCCTTGAGCCGAGATTCCGCATTCAGCAAGGCTTTGGGCGCGCTTCTTCGTACCCAGCCATCCGCGTGCGACAGGCATGATCTCAAGGTTGCGATGACTTGCGCGTTGCCTTTGCCCACCTGGATTGTGAAACGTTCGAAGCAGAATGGTCAGTCGATACAATGTCACAGTGCCTCAGTGACTTGACTCTATAATGGCAAAACTTGTCTTTGCTGCAAGCAACACACACACAACAGGACGTCGAAGCTCTAACAACAAATCTCCTACAGTCGTGCATGCAGAGGGCCTGGCCCAGCGCAGTGACGGCTTCCTGTGCCACCGGGGGCGCTTCAGAATGGAGCAGATTTGTAAGCTCAGCCATGACGACTTCGTCGTTGAACGACCGCCGACCCAGCCTGAGTCACTGAGGAAGACTGCGACGTTCTCGCGATGATATCAGGCGTGTGGCTGCGACTGTTGCTTGAGTTTGGGAGTGGTCTCTACACAGCGACGAGAGGCACGGTAATAGCTGCGATCTTCACTTCATCCCAATGATGCTGCAACAGCGGCCGCGTTTTCTCCTTGCACCCCCGAGACGGGCCCCAAGAAACATGAATGCTTGAAAAGCAATGAGGAGGATTGTGTCTGTCAGACTCGGAACGAAGCGAATACTGGGCAAAGTCGGTGCTGCGGCATTAATTTTGCAATAAGATATCATCTTGGGACGGACTTGCTCTGACTTATCTACCTGCATGCACACAATGACACAAAACATGGGAGGCAATGCTGAAAAAGGAAGACCACGAAAGCCCTTTGATTGAACACTGCGGACAAGGGTCCACCACGCTTTCGTTTGCACATGCACTCAGCAGCTCAATAGCCGCTCGCCGTATAGATGCAGGGTTTGGCATCCGTCCCCGTGTAGCGAAGCGGCTGCCGCCTGGTATCGGGCGGGAATGCTTCAGCCTGCTGCAGCCTGCTTCAGCCTATGCCTACATAATGAGCCTACATAGTATCAGCAATACACCGAGGCTCCGATCTTGAAACGAAATCGAGGGTCTGTCTGACCCGCGTGTGAAAGGAGAGAGACCAACCTCAGACTGCACTCCGGCTGAGCACGACTCAGCCCGAAGGGATAGATGCAACGAGGTGGGTTCAGGTCCCATTGCGCAGAGGAGCTCATCCACCACACTCTCGGGAAGCTTCAGCCTGCAAGGAAGGCCACGTGTAGGCAAGCACCAGTACAGCTCAACATGGAGTGGCCACTTGTGCCCCGAAGGTGTTCAACCGGATTCTGGACTCGAAAACCGCCCAACGCAACTTTCCTGAAGGTCTCAACGAGAGTCTTAAAACACATCTTACAACTTCAAGAGTCTTGCAAGCGATGTAGGACTCAACCAGAAAGCTCTGGTGACTGTGAGATTTGTAGCGTCTGACCATGGCCAGGGAGTTCAATGGAAGCTTCTTGCCGTTGGAGCCGCAGCTCGTCCCAGGCAGATAAAGTTGTGGCGATCATTGCAGCTGAACTACATGGCAGGTGGATAGAGCAGTTGGTACGAAAACTGAGCAGATGAACCGGACTTGGCTTGTGGGTTCCGAGATGCTGTCCGTCGATGTAGCAGCAAGCGTAGATCAAACAAAGGCTGCTCTGTCTTGCCAAACCGGTGACATCATGTGACTGGCCAAGAATGCTGTCGATCATGGCCTCGTCTCTTCAAAGCTGCACATTTGCTGGGCCACGGCAGGAACTGTCGTCTCCCAGTGGTCGTGCGGATCGTTAACCTTGTTGTGATGCGGAATCTGCTGATTTCTGCTTGTCTACTTTCATTGGACACTATCTTTTTGTCAGGCCCATGGCTGAGACTCCGACCATGCCGAAACGGCCAATCTGAAGGGGAACCATCAGGACCTCGGGGGCCACTGCAGGTCTACACTTCGGTTTACATGACCCGATGAATTATACCCGATTCCCTGCAGTCTCAGGCGCGCTGCACAGCTTGACGAAGAGTTGCACCAGCTTTCGCGCCGTCTGCGGACAATCCCAGCCCACGTGGCCCAGTGAGGACAGCACGACCCTTCGTGCCAAGATCCGGCGATCAGTAAGGTCGTACCTCAAGGCATCCGACTCGTGCCGATCCTCTCGCGACTGTATCTGACTCTGTTTGGCAGCCAATCACTCTTACTTTGTCTTCTCATCTCAAGCTCTTTTCTGTATCTATCTGCTCTTTGCTCTTCTCGGATTTCGGTGCATGCCCGTTAACTCCACGAGATTTCCGGCAGCTGAGGCTGAGGTGCTTGAGGTCCAGAGCCTTCTTCAGCACTGCGAGGGCATCCTCGTCGCCAGGAGGGGACAGACGCCCCAAAATCTCCACTGCCGGCAGAACCTGCGGGCTGACCCTTCGCGTAGCTTAAGTGGGTCGGATCCGTCTCCGTGGAACTGTGCATAGAAACACCAGCAGCCTGCCACTTCTCGATCCTGTGAAAGTCCTCGTAGTAGTCGTCGCCCTCTGCCAGTTTGGTCTTCGAGAAGGGTGAGAACAAGCTCTGCTTCGACTCGGCTACCTACATAAGACGCGCTACGGTCCTCGATAGGCTGCACATGCTGGAGGAGTCCGTCAATGGCCAATCGCAGCTTCTTGCGCAATTGCCCTTTCTCGATCGGGACCATGAGGAGCCCGTCGATCACCTACAGTTTTCATAGTTTTGGACACCGATCACACCACGTAGGGATGAGCCTCCCCAATAGTCATAGTCCTTGCATACCCTTGCAAGGCATTGGCCCACGAGCTTTGGCCATTTGTGACAAGCTGGGGGGGCACAGAAAGCTTTGCATCTCAACGCCATCCTTTTGCGCCTAACACCTCTGCCTCCTTGTGCGATTGAATAACATGGAAGTTACAATATTTCAACAAAAGGGTACTTGCAACTTTGGCTGTGAGTACAGGAAGATGTTTTCGTGGAAAACAGGCTCAGTTCCAGATGCGACATCTTGGGGTATTTAGGAGCCAAGAGCAGACGAGCTTCAAGATCACGAATTTGCCGAGAGGGGCTCTTCAGGCACCTTGCTCCAGTGAGACTTCGGACGAGTGGACACACGCTCTCCCCTCCTCTCCACCCATCTCCAACCCCCTCCATGCCTGATCAGCGCATCTACAGCATTCTCTTGACCGCTCTGCGCGAAGCTGCTGATGGCCTTGGCTGCCTTTTTCCAGGCGGAACTGGAAGATGCAGGTTCAATGACTGCAACGATATTCCAGAACCCCCCACCTCAACACGGCATTGCGAGGTCGTCTCGGACCGCACCAACCAGCCGCGGAAGAGGCCCCAGCGTGTACAGTGGTAGAGCGCAGACAGGACCTGCAAACCAGCCCCAATGGGGCATGTCAATGTCTCGTCCGAAGGATCAGAATTCACACCACGCGTTGCCTCAAGGATTGCTCTGACATGCTTTTGGTTGAAGCCGATCCGAATCTCACATCCTGAAAAAGGAAACGCAAAAGAGCGGCAACTGTGCCTGCTCATCACAAGCCACCATCGTCCGAGCTACTTTGATCGCGGCGACCTGAGTTGATCCACGCCTCTCGCTCTCGGCATCATTCTTCCCGATCCAGTTGAGCAGTTTAGCACTTAAGACGTTGGGATGCTAAGTGACGGCAAGGTCGGGCTTCGACAGGCCGAAAGTTGCCAAAAGGCTGTCCACCGTGAGCAGAAGAGTCATCTCCAGTTTGGCCTTCGTGCCTCTCTCGGCCGGCGGCTCACAGAGCACGCGCAGCCTCTCAGAGTCCTCCAAAGGGCGGCCTTGGAACATGAGCTTTTGGCAGATGGGATGGAACTGGATCTCATCGGACGCGGCCATGTCGGCAATGGACCGTTTCAGGTCGCGCACCAGGGAGTCCGAGTCGAGAGAAAGCTCCAACACTTCGCCGGAAATCTTCGCGCAGGCCACATCTACTCCGAAGACGTCCATGGCAACACCTGGAAAGACTCGCCCCAGCTGCTACCAGCCTCTGGGATGCTAGGTGCGAGCTGTCACAAGCAGCCAAACGCAGCCATCCTCGCATAGTGGAATGGTGGCACGTGCCGATCATTGTCACAAAACCAATGCCACCCGCACCGGCACCGGCTGTAGCGTCCTGGTACAAGGTGGGGACATAGTGCCTTTCATCATCAGCTGCGTGTACGTCTTTTTGTTCGTTTTTTTCTCCATCTCCCTGCAATGCTGCCTGATCCTATGCGGAAACCGTTAACGAGAAGCTGCTCCAAATTAGAGCGCGCTTCTAACTGCAGTGCGGCTTCTGTCTGAATCTTGCGAATCGCACTGCTCAGAAGCCACAGCTGCAGTTGCTCCATTAGCTTTCAAGGGACGCCACGACAAGACTGCGGCTTTTCGGATTCGGTGGCGGGGGCCTCGACTGGGCGCCATGCTTGAAGTAGTATGTTGAATACATTTGACTAGCTTGAAGAGTTCGATCAGAGCACCACCCGCAACCGGAGGCCGCCTGCCGTCCGGCTCTATGTACATAGACCCATCGGTGATTGCCCATACAGGCGGTGATGGTTTCAGCTATCAAGATCTGCCTCCTGCAGGCACGAGATCCCACGAGCCGTGAAGCAATTGCACAGACATAGCATTGGCTGGACGAGGCTTTCCGTCCTCCTCTTCCTGCTTCTTCTTTTTCTTCTGGCGTTGCGGCAGGATCAACTCCTTGCACAGGTGAAGCAACTGTGGAAGCTTGGTGTCTTGCTGCAGCTGATTCTCGGCTCCAATCGGGCCTTGCCCTTGAGCGACGGTCCCTACCAATTTAAAAGGTCAATTGAGATGCTGCGCTTGTGCAATGTAACCTCTACAAGCCAAAATGCACAGCTCCAGGAAGACAGCGACTTTCACACACACTAGCAGAAGAGACTGCCGGTAAACCGAAGACAAGAAACATATACCGTTACTTGCGTGCTTGAGGACTGGCAGACAGAACTCCGAGTCCTGATTTTCTGTCATGTAGTCCTGCAACTGACAGGGCATGCTGCGAGCATCCTCACCGCGAGTGCCATCTTGGTGCTGGACCTTCGTCACTTTAACCGGTGGCGAAAGCGGGAGGCAGCCCCTTTTTCTCTGAAGCCCTCTTCTGACCAGGGAAATGCTCTTCTTGTGGCAGCCGCCATGTTGGACTCTCGGAGTGATGTTCTGACAAGTGGATACCGGATATGCCGGCTGCCGACAGGGTGACTTTTGCAGGCTCAGGAAAGAGGACGCGGTGCCGGGCGTGCGTCCTTTCCACAAACGCAGATCCAGCTACATAATGCGGCATTGGAGTTGCGGAGCTGAAGCGAACCCGGACTCGCATTTTTTGTCTGCGGGGCGGCTCGGCAAGGCGTCTGTACAATGGTGCCTCGGACTCTGAGCTGAACCTCAATTGCCTTCAATGCAATGATTCGAACTCAGAACTCGGCCGCAAATCGCGGGACTCAATCCACTAAGCATCTACTGGACATTACTGGACCATGGGGATGGCAGCCACTGCACCGGCGCACGTTGGTCTTGCTGACTTGCTTGAGAAACCTGCGTGCCGATGTGGGTCAGGGGTGGCGATTTGTCGACCCCTGTCAGTGATCTGTGGTCGTCGATCATGCCTCAAAATTGCAGAGAAGCGCACCTATCCCAGCAGCCATTTCAGGCCGGAAATCCAGTACTTGTGCCTCGGATATATCTTTGCATCTACTTGGCTTCTCAGAACAGACAGCTGCTTCACGGACCCTCTGTCACTAGGCGCCGTGGCTTGCCTACTACAGCATAAGAAGGGACACAGCCACGGCATGCCACTGGTACCACACAGCTACCATCACCAGCACTGCCTCTGCCAACACTACGCCGCCACCACCTATGCGTGGCTTCGGGAGCTGCGGACCAAGCAACTGCTGCCAGTACTCGGCTACGAGCTCCTGCTCCCATGCATCAGGCAGTCGCACGTGTGCTCTTACGTAAGTCTTATGGCACCCACAAACCACAAATCACTATGAGTCATGGTGGGTGGCATGGGTACTTGTAGCCCGCTCCTGCACAACCGCTTGGGCATCCTGCTCATGTCCGGCACCCAGCGCATCTGCAAATCTGAACCTTGTCGACTGCAGTTGAAGCAGCAAAAAGCTGCAAAACCCTCTCTACAGGCTCGGCTTCATTGCTATACTGCCCAACTACTCGACAAATCATGGCAACTCACAATTCAGGTTTCACTCGAGCCGCTCATATCCTGAAGAGAATCCAAACATCCGTCACGTTGGGCCGCGGTGCAACTTCTGCTGGATCTCATCGGCGATCTGGCCATTCTGCAACTTCTCGTACAGGACACGAAGGCGGGCATCAACTAGGGCCTTCAAGGGACTGAAGCTGCAAAAGGTTGACTGTCACTTCTGCTGGGGGACGGGGACGAGCCGATGCAACTCTCTCGCAGCAGCTCGGGAAGAAACAGAGTTGGCTGTGAGTGTCTTGCACGTCGGCAGCCTCACCATTGCACTCCAGAGAGCGCGGTCTACCACTACTGCCACTACTTAGTGAGTCTGTACTTAAGCGCAATGGTGACTCGCACCTTGGGCCTTGTAACGGCACCCTTGTAACACAGCGCGGGTCATAGAACAGTATGCACGTTTGCAGGGTGTGGCCTTGCGTTGCGCTTCACAGAGTCGTATGTTGATGGATGCACACTACAAGGAGTTCGGGCAACCGCATTAGACCCCATACCTTCCAGGGTGAGGTTGTGTCATGGGTGCTCACTGGTCTGGGAAGGCGCTCGTGGCCTCGTCCAGCCAAGCATTCCAAGTTTATAGTTGAAAAGTCGTCTTGGTGTCCCAGCGCCTAGCTCTACCTAGGGGCTGAAATACTTCAACACGTGTTTCTGGCTGCGCGCAATTCTCGGGCACGTAAAAGGTGTGGGCGTGTGATGGTGCAGGGTGCAAGGTTTGTTTAGGGACTCAAGTTGGCCTGCCGATCTGGCCGTCGTCGAGCAGCAGCATCAAGCGTGGGCCGCAGAGCGCTCAAGTCCTCGAGAACAGAACTGCTCGAATTGCACCCTCCACCGCTGAGACTGTCGAAACACATGTCACACACGCAGCCTCGCTATCGTTTCGACATGTTTCGGTCCTGCATGGGCGTCCCTCTTCCACGACCTCGCGCCAGCAGCACAAATGCAAGGTCATCCGGCTGAGGCTTCAGCATGCTCACGATCCACCACATGTCTCAAACTCAATCTTAGATGCTTCATCGCAGCATTCTCGTCAGGCGATACAAGCACATGAGGCACCGGCGGAGCTGGCAATCTTTGCACCGATTGCTGGGCAGGGCCGCCTCACAGTCAGAATGCGAACCGTCGTAGCACAAGTCGAACCAGACGAGTCAAAGAAGTCCCCGCCTTGTTCGGGCAATCCAGACATTGTCCACGGCCACCAGCATTGGGCACGCCCCACACCCTCCCGGTGCTGTCGCGAGATTCCTCAGAACAAATTCGCAGAGCGTGACAAGCGGTTTCTATCTCCTGCTGCCCCGGAAATGCAGACCGGATTCGTACGATGCAACGGCGGTTGCCGGCACGATGGTTGGTGCGGGAACGGGTCTGCTGACCTGGGCGCTGGTTGCCTCAGGGCACACTGCTGGAATTACAAGATATTGCAAGCTGAGCGTTTCGGTTTCTTGTTTGGCGCTCTGGCTGAATGCAGGAATTGCTGGCTTGTGAGAGGCTGTCAAGTGTAGATAGGCACGAAGGGTGCATGTCACAGCAGTGAGGTGCTAGGCTCTATGCATTTTGAACCTCATCTAAGCGAAAGAGTATTCACGGTGGCTTGGATGACAGCTTACCATTCCGATGCACGAGCTGCAGGTCAACTTGCAAGCCTTTGAAGACATGCCGGACATGTTCTCCAAACATTCCCTGCGTGGTGGTGACGACGGCGAGTACTTCTTCCTGCGATTTTTTGTTACGAATGAACCCCAATGGGAAGAACGCCTCTTCCGGATTTCACGCAGCATGTGCTGGCATTCCAAGTTATGCTGTACATGTTGCAACTTTCCATTTTACGCCTGCAGTTCGACCCTGCTGCTGGCTCTTTGTCGATGTGCATTCATCCTGGTGTCGCCTTTCATCTCACGAAGCCTCGCCATCTTGGCTGGCACTGCCCCTGGATGAAGTCATGGCATGGACCCAGATCACGTGAAGTGGCAAAATCTTCCGCCAAGACACCTGCAGCTCACACGACCTGGGCTATAGCAGGGAAACGGTGCACAGGTACAAATCCTGCCTCCTGAACCCAATCTATATTCGTCATGAAATCCCACCGAGCATCTGGTCGGGCACCGCGGGGACCGCTGGGACGGCTGGCAAGCAGTAGCCTGCACCGACCAGTGCAATTCCACGCCAGCACCCCAGTGGCACCCCATGGCAGCAGGACTGGCCTTGAGCTGCGAAATCGTGGTCGGCCCAACTTTTCAGCTGGGCCATCTGGCCTGTGGTGACTGCTTGAGTCTGTGACTGGGTGTGCTCGTCCCAACCAAAGTACGCCATCCTGGGATGACATGGCAACGCAAGGCTTCAGGATTTCGTCCTAGCATAGATCACTCCCAACCCGCGCCGCAGCCATCCGCACCCCGAACAGCCCGAACTGAAGCTGAACTCACTAAGTCCAGCATCCGACGTCCGAGCGGTGTCACTGGCATCGAAGCAAGCTGCATGGCTGCAAGAAGATTCTCAGACTTCGACTCTGCCAAAGAGCATCGATGTGGCTTTCAAAGCACGGCACGTATGGAGATGTGGGCTTTTCGATGAGTGGCTAACTGTACACGGAAGATGGACTCTGCCAACCTTGAGCACTGCCATATCGTCAGTGCAAACATGCACATTTATGTCAAAGACTGTGCCTTGCGACTCTAATCCCTACTGGTCCTAAAAGCCTCCCCCGGAGTTGGCACTGCAACGAGCAGGTTCCCGTCCTTAAGAAAAGCGCATCGGCCGCCATCAGCCGGCCCACAGACCCATGCGTCCAAGCCTGGAAGCCATGCGTTCTGGCACAACGGACTTGGACATGCAGTGTCGCTGCATGCAGCCGGGCAACAGCCTTTTTGGCGCCACGTGATACGATGACTTTATTTGTCGACCAAACTTCGGAGCGCTTCTGGGCTCCCCGTAAACGGTGGGGCGAACATGGCGAGTTGAACTGCAATATGCCATCAGCCGAAGATTCTTCCTTGCTTGGTGTGACCGTGGATTTTGATTGGTCGCGCTTGGTTCGCCATATTCGCCGGTGAGCTACACTCCACTTCGGTTAGATTCACTTGTCAGTCGTAGATGCGCATGTAGCATCATGTACTAGGCTTCTACTGCTGAGCTTGCAGTATTCAATCGGCACAACAAACCCCTGAGAAACCAAACTGTCGAACCCTGCAATGCATAAAGATTTGTCAGGCCCATAGCTCCTAACTATGTCACGTGAGACCGGGCAATCGACTTACGTTACCACCACGTGGACATTCGGCACTTGCCAGTGGCACTCGCTTTGGCGATGAAGCGCCTCCCACGTCGCACTCATAGAGTCGGCAGTGGACGCCTGTCGGCCGTACTTCACTCATCCGATTAAACCCTAAGCGCCTAAGCGAAGCGGATTGCATCATCGAGCATCTCGAGCTAGCAACACAAGACCAGTGGAGGGCTCGTTGCTGGACATTGCCCGGTGCTACTGCCACCCGCGTGCCTCAGCGACGTCTGGAGTCATTGCGTGCACGCGAGTCACGACCGCGACCGCGTCCGCCTCCGCCCCCGCCTCCACCTCCGCCCCTGGGCCAGCAAAACTCGTTGTCGGTGTCAGGAATTCAGCTTCAGCCTGACTGTGCCTGTAGGAGGGCGACCGGCGAGGGGGCGATCGATTTCGAGACCGCGACCTGAAGAAACTGCATTGCCGCTGGGACATCCCGGTCTGGCGACGTCTTGCTCTGAGGCCGGGGCGGAGAGCGTCGACGCGAGTCAGAACCTAAACAGGTGCACAAGCTTCCTTTGGCAGACACCTAAACAGAAACCAAATCTGCAATTTTGCAAGCTTGCTACAGTTTCGGTACATGCAGCTGCTGCTTCAAGCCAGTAGCACCGCTTGATGATGATAACGCAAACAAGGAAAAAGCTGATACTGACTGGTGCTGTTTGCGGGAGCTGCTCTACCGTACAAGCCTTAAACGCTGTGACATAAGATCGCAAAATAGCATGTTGGCGTCAGAGTCACTGGGCAACATTGCTGTATCCCAAATTAGGATCATCATTGCTAGCAGCAGTCGCTGTCGTCATGTCGTATCAGTAGTAAGAGTGACACCAGTATTTCCGCTACGGTTCCAACCAGTCGTAGACTAGGTTCAAGTACCAGTACTAGTACCAGTTTTCGTACTGCTGCAATGGCTAGTACTCGCACCACTACTAGCACCAGCAGCAGCAGCAGCAGCAGCAGCAGCAGCAGCAGCAGTAGCAGTAGAAGAAGGGAGCTACTGAAACTGCTGCTGCTGCGGTTGCTAATATTAGGACCGGTACTTGTATAAGTACTAGTACTAGTACCAGCACGAATACCAGTACGAGTATGAGTACGACTAAAATGACGACGACTGCTTCTGCAGTACTGCTTATGCTAGTACGCAGACGACGACGACTACTGACTACTGCGACTAGTGCTGGTGCTAGCACTGGTGCTAGTACTGCCACTTGCAGCAGTACTAGTACTAGCACTAGTACTTGTACCACAGTCGCAGCAGCAGCAGCAGCAGCAGCGGCAGCAGCGGCAGCAGCAGAGCGTATCAGCAGCCAGCAGTAGCAGTGGGCAGCAGCAGTAGCGGTGGCGGTGGCAGTAGCCGTAGCAGTGCCAGTCGCAGGAACAGGAGCAGAATCAGCAGTAGTAGTAGTTGCTGTTGTTGTTGTTGCTTTAGCAGTAGTACAGTAGCAGTAGTTGTTGCTGTACAAGCACTAGCAGCCAAGACCTGGAAAGAACCTTGAAAAAGATAAAAGGTTATAAGGAATAATGTTGACGACGAACCCAAGACTCCCTGGCAGCCAGGGAACGCCGTCGCGGTGGGCTCCGACCTCGAGAATCCGAGCGACCCCGGTCCTTCAAACAAGGGCAGTTCTTACGTTCAGGGTTTGGAGCATGCTCCGTAGGAAGGCGTTTGAAGAAGAGTCACGAGGGGAAATTAAGGATATGGGGTTTAGAGTTTTTTCGAGCCTCGCATCTAGGAGTACGCACGCTGATTCTTCTTTGTGTGTTTGTCTTTCCGTCGTAGCGGAGTGGTAGCGTGGTGGTAGTGGTAGCGATAACGGTAGTGGAAGTGGCAGCGGAAGGGTTACGGGTAGCAGTAGGAATCATGGTATTGACAAAGGTGCGGGTGGCGGCAAGGGCAGTGGTGGTGAGGTAGTGGTCGGGTAGTGGTGGTGGTAGTGGTAGTGGTAGTGGTAGTGGTCGTGGTCGTGGTCGTGGTTGTGGTTGTGGTGGTGGTGGTGGTGGTGGTGGTGGTGGTAGGCAGTAGTGGTAGGCAGTAGTGGTAGGCCGAAATGGCAAGGTAGCGGCAGCAGTCGTCATCCCTAGAAACAGGATCTGCTCATTCATCAGCGTCATCATTATCATTATCATCATCATCATCATCATCATCACCGTCACCAACCTCATCCGGATCGTCGTCATCATAATCATGCCTATCAGTATCATCAGACTTTGCGAACGCATCCAACAGGATTGTGTATAGTCTCTTCATCGTCAGATCATTTAAGTTCATCATGATTTGGCGCCCTGTCTGCGTGACGTCTACTCAGAACTAGCTGGGATCCGTCTTTGAGGAAGGGTCATTCAAGCGGACGTGCTACAGCTTTGGCCTCCATGCTGAACCCTCTGCAACAGGGGTGCTCTCTTGCAAGATGCATCGTCAGAGCGTCCTCGTCTCCGCGGAGCTTCTCCTGAAGACGTTGTGGAGATCCGCTTGGATTGTGTTATCCCCAGTGCACCCCGCCTGTACCAACTCGTTGACAAGCCGCTCTGCTGCCTACAGTAGTCCACGCAGGGGCAGTGCACAAGTCTCCAGAAAGCAGCAGATGCTCCGTCACTGCTTGCGTGGTTGTCGAAACTTTTTGGCACTGCAAACCTGCGCGTCCTGAGCCATGCACCATGCGGCCCGTGTTGGACACTTTGGATCCTGTGCACATCCCACATACGGACCATCGAGAACACGGCAAAAGGCTTGCTGCCAGCCAGCACTTAACATACTTAACTAATACACACACACACACACACACGTTCGACAGGAAAAGCTGAAAGATGGAAGGGCATGCGATCTGCAAGCTGAAGACGAAGCATGGATGCAGCCAGGGAGAAGAAGTGCTGCCGAACTTTCGGAGGGACCTGCTTCGTGGCTGAAGATGCAAAGCCGCTCATCACCACGGCCGTCCAAGGCCATAAACATGTAAGTGGAGGTCCTCAGAGATACATGTTGAAGCTCAGGGCTACAGAGGAGAAACCTACTCGATGCAGCAAGAGCCTGATGCTGAGATCTGAGTGCCGGTGCTCGTGCTCCATGCGGCGAAGCTCGGAACCCCGGTTTCCGGTGACCCAGCCCTTGCCTGGGTGCATTGCGGGCCGAATGCCGAAGAGTGGAATTTTTGCAGGAAGCCTTTGGCAAAGGCCCTTTGCTGCAGTCTGAGACGAGCACAATTTGCAGGAATGTGCATCTCCTCAGTGTGCTTCAGGGATGCACTTGTACCATAAGACTCTAGCATCCTCGAAAACCAATTTGCAGCAAAGGGGCTGTGCAGTCCTCCCTGTCTGTCACATCTGGTATGGTCACGGCACCTTGCGGCTCTCAAGACGAAACACACATTCTCCCAAAAACTGAAATCGTCGCCTTTCAATTGCTGTAGCAGCCAGCCGATGTACTCCTTGCAGCGGCGGCGCTCCTGAAAGCGCGAGATTCTCTGGACAAAATTTTGTTTTGGCATGCACACTGTTGGCAAGCTGTCCTTTCCGATACCGGCCATGAACGCATAGCGCCCAACGAACTGTAGGATACAGCCAGCAGCCTGCGACAGCGACAGCATCTGCCATCTATCTATGCTCTGCATGCAGACCAGTCGCGGTCAACGGCAAGATACTCAAATTCCAGAAAGATCCGAAAGCCACGGGCAAAGCGGCATGGCTACAGCATGCTGCACCAACCCGTTTGCAAGGCTTCTCCCAAACCCTTTTGTCCAACCACTAACTGCATAGGAAGCAGGAAACCCCGATGATTCACACCAGGGATGCTGAAAGACAAAAGTGATAAGCCATTCGTAACTTACTGATAGTCTCGCCGGACAGATTCGTGTGCTTCCGCGCCCGACCATTTGCCTTTTCGATTTTCTTCTGCGTGGCAGCTTCCTTTCCGATGACGTAGCTCAGCTCATCTTCTTTGATGGCCTGAGCTCCCAAAGTCTTTCTGCAGCAGGGTGGCCCGTGTGAGCAAGGCAAAAGGCCGGACTTCCAGCCCTTGAGTGTCTGAGCTTCGCGCCATGCGATCTGTGTCAAACCCTCTGCTGTCGGAGAACTTTTCCCTGCCGGATGAGATCTGCAAGACGGTGCTCAAGCACAGGCACTTCCTCGCGCATGACCTACCGACCTGATTACCTCCGCTGCTATGCGTTCTTGGGCGCCTCAGGCCCCTGGAGAAATGCCCAGGCGCCTGAGGCAGGGGCGAAAGAAGCAGAGTGCGGCAGGCAGCATGCAGCGGTCCCTTGCATGGCGTCACATTGCATAAACGGCTGCTTGATGTCTTTGCAGGAGCACTGCCCGATCTGGCCCAGCGGCCTTCTTCTCAATTTCATTCATGCATTTGAGCTCAGCACCTCACGGAATGAACAGACACACAGCTGTCACTCCTCTCCCACTGTCGGAATGGCTGCCGTGCAGCGACGTGTGCCAAGATGCGACTGTCGCTTGTTTCCGATCACACTGGCGAGGAATTCAAAGACAATGCGAACATGAACACACTCTAACAGCCAGGTGCACTGTCTTCGTTCATGGTGAAATGGTAATAAGGCCTTAGGCCAGTCCTCTGTCCGTTGACAAGGAGAAACGTTGCTCTGCATGTGCTCGATGCCTCGTCGGCCACGCTCGTTGCCGCAGATGATGAGCTTCTCCGCCTATGAGACTGTGAAGTCCGCCCTTCGTGGGCTGTGAGAGGTCTCTGCACGGAGGCCCCTGTAACCAACAACTTAACTCATTGCGATACGGGGCCTGTTGCTTGCCGGTTGAAGGCGAGACTCGCACCAACACAGACTCACTGATTAACTTGTAAATAAAACTGCTCGCTCAAACCCTACAAACTGCACGAAAACAAAAAGCAGGCTTTTCCCTTCAACCCTTCGTCCGACCTGACCGGCTCGTCCGCCCTTGTCTCCGTCCTACTGTTCGGTCGGGATTTCGAGTTCAGGGCGTACGATCTTCTAAGATTTTCTCGGGCTTCTGGTTTGCCAGCGCTTGAACAGCACGCACGCAAGCGATTGGAGTCTGCAGACTTGCATCACAGTCCACAGGTCCTTTGTCATGAAGAACATGAGCGTCCCCCACTCCTAGGCATGCGGACAAGAATCGGTGGACGTGTGCCGTGATTGCAGAGGAACCTAGTTCCTTGTACTGTACTTGCATATAGCCTGCATAGCACTGTCTTGTACGTCTTGTCTTATGTGTTTGCACATGTGTGCACGTGTATAAATTTATGACCGTGCCGTACCGCATCTGCCGAGGTACTTCCTCCATTCGGCCCAATGTAGCGCGGCGGCTACCGGTAATGTAACCTTCATCGAAAGGCACACGAGTCTGTCTACATGTTGACACTGCGCTGACTGTCCGATTGCGCTTGTGCTTCCAACTGTTGGGAATCAAGTCATCACTAGTTTTGAATTCAAAGTAGCTGGAGCTGTTGATGGAGAATCTGCGAACTTGCAAGCGTATGTTTTAGAGGCCAAGGATGGCATTGCTGTAGTGTTGGCTATGAACCGGTTCATGATCACTGAAGGCCGAGGTGCCGATGCAGTCCGAAGGTACCTCAGCGCAGCACAGCATTGGCGTGCACGTTCCCATAATCATCAAGCTGATCTAAATGCTGCACCAAGACGTAGCGCAGATTGGCAATGCTGAGGTCAGCACATGTACGACACCTTGGGGACGAACTACGACGGGAAGAGAAGAAAGTTTTAGCGATACTTAGGAGAAGAATCGAAGGTAAGAATGAGAAGATAATCTCAGATCTCATGGATCCTCTCGTGACGAGCACACACCCATCAACAACACCCTCATGTTCCGATGATCCGACATGCACACATATAGAGTTCAACCCAAACTACGGCTTTGTTCTATACAGATTCCCACTGTTGCTGTCCAAAACTGCAGGCCAGGGAACAGCAGTCGTCGCGGTCCTCCCAACCGTCCACGTAGACTGGACCCTCGAGCTGGGCGAAGAGCCACCTCGTTAGACCGAGAGAGCGAGAGGTATCTGTCGCGGCTATTCGAGTTCCGGTCACAGGCCGATCACCGCCACATTTCCTATGCCTGCAACGAGCCTGAAACAGCGCCGAAGCCGGTAATGCGTCGGCGGCTGACAGCAGCTGGTAATCTGTCCGAGTGACTTCATGTAGTCTTTGGCTCGGCGGCGCTCAGCGCGCGTTCCAGAGAAGAGGCAAGTATGCCCAACGTACCTTAAGTATCTGCAAAAACAGAATGAACTTGTCATGGAACATCTTACTCTACGGCAAGTCTTGCACATGGATCTTGAACAACGACAGGAACAGGCATAGCAGCTCTTACATCATCTTTGCAGAAACATAGCGGAACCCTGGAAAGCTAAACATCGACCAGCCAAGCTGCTGCACAATGCATCCTGTCACAGACAGGTGTGCTGGCAGACACTCTGCTGCAAAGCAGAAAAGCAGAAGACTGCGCTACGCCGTAAAAAAAAAAAACACAGGCGCTAAACCCTTCCTGAGAGGAGAATCATGCATTGGCTATCCCCGCAGCTGCCAAGGCCCGATGACATGATCAAGGCAGGTATTTCAGTGAGAATGCACAGGGATGTTTCGGGCTCTACGGTGCCCTGCTTACCGTCCAGGGCGTCGGGTTACTGTAGGAAGGCACCCTGGTCCTGACGCTCGCTCGAGCTTCTTGCGCGTACCACCCTGCTTGCCCAGGGCATAGGACAGCTCGTCATCCTTCGGGTCAGGTACCCTCAAAAAATCAGACCTTTGCGAAGAAGCAGGCTCCTACTGTGAAGTTCACCGGGCGAGACTTAACTAGGGTGTGCCTGGAAGGTCATGGTGTCTGTGGACCATGTGCCTGCGGGAGAAAGCAAAATGTCGCGCATTGCTGCCTAGAGGAACTGCGTTTTGCGGCTTGCATTCCTGGCGGCCTTCCGGATCCTTGCCTTTGTCACGGTCAATAACTTCATGCTTAATCTTGCCGAGGTAGCCTGCACCGGACAGGAAACAGACCCGGATGCCAGAATTGAGGCTCCAGGGTCCCGGTGCTTCAGACATCCCCTGCCTGGACTCTTCGTCTCAATGGCACTTAAGACCTGCCGCGAATCGACTTCGGAACGAGGGCTCTGCCAGCTCTGCAGCTTCCCAATCCCTTCTGCTTACCTAACACCGGCCTTCAGCTCCGCGCCCCGGCGGCCGCGAATGTCACCGAAGATGGCGAGCTTCTCGTAGTCCTCGCAGGACCGAAGTTCGATCAAGAGATTCCACCAGAAAAAAAGTGCTCCTGTCCTACGTGTGAGAGGACGGCTACCTACTGGAGCCCTCCAGACCAACTCACAGAGTGGATCTCGGATCACCTCTAAAATATGCGATATGTAAAAACAACCGTGCAAATGACCGGTGCCATCGACTGCAAACCTACTTCGACTCTCACCCTCGGACTGGCACAAATCTTCACGACGACTGGCTTCAAGCACACATCCAACAGCTCGCCGGCCAAATCAAGACTGCACTTGTCTTTGTTCCTGCTTCGGTCGGCGCAGAGCTGGTTTGACATCGTCTGTAGATGGTCCGCGATCTAGGAAACGGATTCGGAAACGAGGGGCGCCGGAAATGCACGGCGCGAATCGAAAATCTGGAACTGTGGGTCAACTTGCTTGCCACAAGGACCGAAAGAGAGAAGGGCTGATGAAACTTCGTGCATGAGCCTTCGGCAAACCGCTTGGCAGCAAACTTGGAGTCTAAAGTCTAAAGCCCGAACTGCTGCATGGCGTCCTTGCCGGTGGCCATCTCTGCGGCGAAGATTCCGAGAACCGAGATCATGGCCATGCGCCCGTTGTTGAGCTCCTTCATCCTCATCTCGTCGTTGTACATGTTCACGCCGAAGGGGTCGCCGTAGTTTCCCGGCTCGCGAGAGGGGTTCTCCCTCCACCACAGCTCCAGTGGGGCGCAAGCGAGGAAGATGCCGAAGAAGCCTAGCACGCCCTCGCCCTTGTCCATGATGGAGAAGCCAGCGGGAGCATTCTCGAAGAAGGGGAATTTCACGAAATGCTGTGCGACGAGTCCAATCGAAGCCATCATCGCTACTCTACCATGTTTGATCTCGGAGACACGCAGCTTCCTAAAGCCCTTCTCGTCGCCCACCTTGGTAAACCCGAGCGGATCGAAGAATCCAAGAGGTTGG